ATTTGGTTGTCACATGTAACAGGTAAAAAAAATAATAATAAAGGTGCATTGTAACGGACGACTGACCATAGACTAGATACAGTGCGGCTAGTAGGTTGGCACCAGAGAATTTACGCAGTTCACTTTTTTCTCAATTTCCCACGGGAGATCTCACGGCCAAATTGGCATTCCTCACGTTGCGACGTGAGATTTCAGGGCGACAGTGGGCCAACTCAAGGTGAAAAATATCGATCCAACGCACAGTTCTTCACATTTTCGAAATTTGAAAACACATGAAGTGCAAAGTCTCGTTTTATTTACTTGTAGGGTTGCCTAAAGCTTCCTTTATGGGCAAACAAAAAACAATTTGCCATGGTTAAGGATTGGAAAACAACTCATATAATGAAAGACATTTTTCTTGGTTAATATCCACAAAACGTTAATTAAGATAAAGTGATCAGAGAGCTAGAGAAGCTCACACATGCTCAAGTTACCAGCATGGGTCACGGCTCAAAGTGCCACCTTAGCCACCATGACAGCCAGGAAGCCACAGTCCTCCATAGGAGGCCTCCAAACTCGTTGAGCCCCAAGCAGACACACAACACTCAAACGCAAGAGGGCCAAAGCCAGGCTGCAGCGAAGATCGGAAACCACCATAGAGTAAGCCTCCCTCCCACGCAGCGACAGGAAGCGTGCGACCCGGCGTACCAGTGCAGCAGCACCCTTGCTGCACCGGTGCAGCAGCACCCTTGCCGCACCGGTGCAGCAGCACTTTTGCCGCACCAGTGCAGCAGTACCCTAAGCCTTGCTGCATCCTCATGTAGGATTGGAAAACAACTCATATAATGAAAGACATTTTTCTTGGTTAATATCCACAAAACGTTAATTAAGATAAAGTGATCAGAGTGCTAGAGAAGCTCACACATGCTCAAGTTACCAGCATGGGTCAAGGCTCAAAGTGCCACCTTAGCCACCATGACAGCCAGGGAGCCACAGTCCTCCATAGGAGGCCTCCAAACTCGTTGAGCCCCAAGCAGACACACAACACTCAAACGCAACAGGGCCAAAGCCAGCCTGCAGCGAAGATCGGAAACCACCATAGAGTAAGCCTCCCTCCCACGCAGCGACAGGAAGCGTGCGACCCGGCGTACCAGTGCAGCAGCACCCTTGCTGCACCGGTGCAGCAGCACCCTTGCTGCACCGGTGCAGCAGCACCCTTGCTGCTCCAGTGCAGCAGCACCCTTGCCGCACCAGTGCAGTAGCACCCTAAGCCTTGCTGCATCCTCATGTACATCAGTAAAAGTACTCCCACCTACTACTGGTCTTGTAGCGCTACGCGGATAGGAATCCAAAATTTCAGTTGTCACGACCAATCTTCTTGCAATACGAGCAATACCCCGCTGGAGCAGAAAGGGCCCACTCTCCTTGGTCGTACCTGTACTACAGTATAGTCATGCTGTAGTGCATGCGAGCCCATCGGGCAATGAAGACCCAATACGAGTACTATGCTGGAACACGTCATGTCGTCAGTCTCAGAGTTTATCCTGCTGTGCGGCTGGACCAGTAATCAGGGACTATGCGGCCATCTCAGTGTCTTCGTGGTGTTGCGATTCGCTGTTGGGGGCCAAATACACGGCGAAGTTTCTATTCGGATTGGTGGGTAGGCTTGCAGCACATTCAGCTCCTTACAGAGCCCACCGAGTTGTGACGCAGGAAGCCCTTGCGGACCTCTACTATTGTTCGCCAAAACTGCGCGTTGGTAGAGAATAAAACGACAGTATAGTGAAGGTTCAAATACGCAATAATCATTGGTCTGCTCAATAGTTATTAACCAATAGGTCTGCAGGAAACTAGCCATGCATTCTCTGATACGAGGTTGATCTATCCCCGCGCATCGAACTATCGGTCCAAGCCCATTGTATTCTGTTTACCGCAAGGTACAAGGTGCCAAGAAGTGGAAGTCTGTGTGTGGCTGATGTGGGGTCCACATGCACTTGAACCATACACACTGTACTGAAAAACTAATTATCTCTTTGAGAGGTGGAATGGTTCACGGAAGTCAGTCACGCTATGTCGCGTAGGAGAGCGGAGAAGCGTTTGTCTTTATAAAGCCATGTTGCTCATGAAAACCAGAATAACTTTCCTGGATTGACAGAGTAAGAAGCAGCTACAGACTCTCCCAAACTTTTCTTGCTTTCCTTGGTCTTCTTGCGTTCGTTGCTCTTCTTGCTTTCCTTATAAAGTTTGTTGGCCTACAACCGTCCCACGCAGAAGTCACGGTCACCATGAGTGCAGAAGAAGGTTTGATCTAGCAGCAGGAAAAGCCGGCTCTGAAACCGCGGGAAAACCTGAGTCATCTTCAGGACGATGAGCGAGATGAAAAAAGGTATTTCTAAGAGCAAATTGGAACCATATCCAATTCTTCAATATAGCACAACTTTGCTGTCGTTGCTGTTGTTCCGGCTATTGCTGCTGCTGTTGTTGTTGTTGCTGCTGTTGTTCCTGCTGTTGTTGTTGCTGTTGTTGCAGCTGTTGTTGTTGCTGGTGTTGTTGCTGCTGTTGCTGCTGTTGTTGCTGCTGCTGCTGTTACAGCTGCTGCTGTTTTTGCTGCTGTTGTTGCTGCTGTTGAGGATGCTGCTGTTGCTGCTGCTGTTGTTGCTGCTGCTGCTGCTCTTATAGCTTCTGCTGTTGTTGCTGCTGTTGTTTATGCTGCTGTTGCTGCTGCTGTTGTTGCTGCCGTTCCTGCTGCTGTTGCTGCTGTTCCTGCTGCTGTTGTTGTTGCTGCTCTTGTTGTTGTTGTTGTTGTTGTTATTGCTGTTGTTGTTGTTGTTGTTGTTGTTGTTGTTGTTGTTGTTGTTGTTGTTGTTGTTGTTGTTGCTGCTCTTGTAGCGGCTGTGTTTGTTGTTGCTGTTGCTGTTGTTGTTGTTGTTTGAAATCTTTTATTCTCACGATGGCCTGTGGCCAATAAGAGATGTTGTTGTTGTTGTTATTGTTGATGAACAAAAACTTCGTGATGGATTTTTGAGGGGCTGGTTTGCGCACAAACTGCCGTGAAATGAGGCGCAATCACTTTCTTGGTCTTCCCTGGCGGGCCATGAAAGAGGTACGATTCAAGGAAAGCGACCTTTCACAACAAGCCGAGCGGAATCGATGGTTGCGCTGTGGAAACATAGGTGATGACAGTTATGGCGAGCGAAACTGAAATACCACTTCTCCGAGGGGATATTGTGTTGCTAAGTCTCTCTACTACTCTAGCACTGAGTAAGTTGGAGAGTGATAAAGAGCGATCAAACGGAGCTGCGAGTCCACACAATGAGCGAGTGAACAAGGAGCTGCTCTGATTGCACGGCTCAATGAAAATAATTCTGAGCTCAAGTTCTTGTTCAACCTGCGCAAAGCCCAGATTCGAATGCTGATGACCATGTATTTTTTCTGAAGTCTGCAGTCCGATGCAAGTCTCGTGGCTAAAGAAAGTCGACTGGACTTGCTAGCCGCTGCCATTCAGTGCTGGCAGGGGTATCCATCAGAGAATATTGAATCGGTTTGGCTGTGCCTTTACTCCTCGTTTCGCGGAGTTCTGGAGAGCGAAGATGAAACCAGGGAGTCGTAAAATATTTTTACGACTCCCTGGTGGAAACGAGGAATCGCCATCGCGGCGGATCACGCAGCTTGAAAGCCAACTTACTTGAACGACCGCGACATCAAGGCCAGCGGAGTGTGATCAAAGAAGCCGAGCCAAGACTGAAACGAGCTGAACAATGATTCGAGAGAGATGACGACTCGCGTGCAGCAGATGACGACAACGACGCAGGGTCAAAAATGAGTCAAGCGAAAGCGACGCAAACTGAACTTACTGCTCATTCCTCCAACAGTTTCTCTTGAAAAGACGCTGTACATAAGCTGAATCACCTTCGTCCAGTGATTTGCAGTCGAAACAAACTGTTCTTGACCTGTTCTAAGCGTTTTCATATCCATCAAAATCCATCACAGTTTTTGTTACCGGAGAAAGTATGAAAAGTATGAATGCCGCAGACATCAACACACCAGGCGCTTGAAAAAACCTTTCTTTTTTAAATTTCGTCATTTCTCAACATTTTTACGAAACCCAAAAGACATGTTTTAGCTGATCGCGGCCCATGTAGACGGTGAGTCAGTGACTTGTCCATTTGACCCCATGCCATGGGGCGGTGCCTGTACTGTAGTTCGGCTTTACATGTAGTCGCCGGCCAAGAAGCAATGATGGGTGCCTCCGTTAATTCTATTGCATCGATTCGCTATAGATTTTATTACTTTACTAGGGGAGTCCCAAATAAAATAAATATACCCAGTTGTTGACCACTCCAGCTTACCAGAGCGACCTTGGCGTTATGGATTTGGATACGCCAAACTTGACACAAAACTACTACTACATGTATATGTAAATAATCTACGTGGAGATAAAAGTTTAATAATAGCTATGAAAAGTATGAATGCCGCAGACATCACCACACCAAGCGCTCGAAAAAATCCTTTCTTTTTATTTCGTCATTTCTCAACATTTTTACGAAACTCCAAAGACATGTTTTAGCTGTTCGCGGCCCATGTATTCGGTGAGTCAGTGACTTGACCATTTGACCCCATGCCATGGGGCGGTGCCTGTACTGTAGTTCGGCTTTACATGTAGTCATCGGCCAAGAAACAATGATGAATGCCTCCGTTATTTCTATCGCAGCGAATCGCTAGTAGATTTTATTATTTTAATAGGGGAGTCCGAACAGGCGTTGCCCTTTTACTGGGAACCCTAGGTGAATTTTGACCATGTTTACATAAAAGATGGGGCCTGACAGCTTTTCCCATGTTAAAATTTGCTGTCTTGGTCATATTTGAAAAGACAGCGACAACTATCTTGTGACAACAATGTCGCTTGGGCTGGTTCTGTTTATTGCGGTGCTACATTGAAGAATTTCCTTCAGTCAATTAGTATTTTTGTTCAGTCTTTATTCCAGATTTCTTATTGGTTATTCTGCTGTGCGATGCTCTTTTCGTGGGAGGGTAGCAAATGCAGCATCTGCTCGTACATCACAAGAAAGGGCGAAAGCCTATTTCAAGAAATTGGAATCGGAGGTGGAGAAATTGAGTCAGGAGGTGAGTCCTACTGGTCCTATTAACCATGTTTTATAATTATCATTATACACAAGAGAGATTGGAAGCTATCCATATCTCATAGCATGTCGTTGAGACTGCCAAGTAATTTAGAGATAAGGGTGATTGCCAACAATTGAGTCAGGAGGTGAGTCCTACTGGTCCTATTAACCATGTTTTAGAATTATCATTATACACAAGAGAGATTGGAAGCTATCCATAATTATCTCATAGCATGTCGTTGAGACTGCCAAGTAATTTAGAGATAAGGGTTATTGCCAACAATGGCCTATAGGACGAAACAAGGGAAGCGACAAAGAGAGCGAGTCACAGATAAATCATTCTCGAGTTAATTTGTCAGCAGTGCCTACTTCTATTCGACCATCTGTCATTGTAAACACGAGATCAATACTTTCCCTTGTGCGTTTATTGTTGCATGCAGAATGTCCAATTGAAGGCGCGAGTCAATGTGTTGGAGACCCCGCAGAAAAATACGCAGTTGTTGACCACTCCAGCTTACCAGAGCGACCCTGGCGTTATGGATTTGGATATGCCAAACATAGGCATCAATCCGGCGTTGTTTGATGACCATGTGAGTTTTCATAGTTTTCTTTGTCATGTTTTACTATGAGCTGCTGAGCATGAATCACTAGTCACGTTTTTTGACACAAAAACTACTACTACATGTATATGTAAATATTCTACGTGGAGATAAAAGTTTAATAATAGCTATGAAAAGTATGAATGCCGCAGACATCACCACACCAAGCGCTTGAAAAAAACCGTTCTTTTAATTTCGTCATTTCTCAACATTTTAACGAAACCCCAAAGACATGTTTTAGCAAATTCCGGCCCATGTAGTCGATGAGTCAGTGACTTGACCATTTGACCCCATGCCATGGGGCGGTGCCTGTACTGTAGTTCGGCTTTACATGTATTCGCCGGCCAAGAAGCAATGATGGGTGCCTCCGTTAATTCTATCGCATCGATTCGCTATAGATTTTATTACTTTACTAGGGAAGTCCCAACAGGCGTTGCCTTTTTACTGGGAGCCCTAGTTGTATTTTTACCATGTTTACATAAGAGAGGGGCCTGACGGCTTTGCTGATGTTATAATTTGCTGTCTTGGTCATATTTGAAAAGGCGGCAACAACAGTCATGTGACAACAATGTCGCTTCAGCTGGTTCTGTTTATTGCAATCCCTACACTGTCTTACTAAGTACTCAAATACATATAAACTATCTTAGTCATTTTTCCTGTATTCCCTATAAGAGCCTATGAAGAGAAGGGAACGAAAATGTTCAGTTTTTAAATTCCCTATTGTTGATTTGGACTGGTGTGGATTACGCAGATGCATGTGCTACATTGAAGAATTTCCTTCAATCAATTAGTATTTTAGTTCAATCTTTATTCCAGATTTCTTATTGGTTATTCTTCTGTGTGATGCTTTTTTGGTAGGAGGGTAGCAAATGCAGCATCTGCTCGTACATCACGAGAAAGGGCGAAAGCCTATTTGAAGAAATTGGAATCGGAGGTGGAGAAATTGAGTCAGGAGGTGAGTCCTGCTGGTCCTATTATCCATGTTTTATTATTATCATTATACAAAAGAGAGATTTGAATCTATTAATATCTCACAGCATGTCGTTGAGACTGCCAAGTAATTTAGAGATATGGGTGATTGCCAACAATGGCCTATAGGACGAAAAAAGGGAAACGACAAAGAGAGCGAGTCACAGATATCTCATTCTCGAGTTATCATGTCAGCAGTGCCTACTTCTATTCGACCATCTGTCATTGTAAACACGAGACCAATACTCTCCCGTGTGCGTTTATTGCTGCATGCAGAATGTCCAATTGAAGGTGCGAGTCAATGTTTTAGAGACCCCGCAGAAATATACCCAGTTGTCGACCACACCAGCGTACCAGAGCGTCCCTGGCGTTATGGATTTGGATACGCCAAACATAGGCATCAACCCGGCGTTGTTTGATGACCATGTGAGTTTTCATAGTTTTCTTTGTCATGTTTTACTATGAGCTGCTGAGAATGAATCACTAGTCACGTTTTTTGACACAAAACTACTACTACATGTATATGTAAATAATCTACGTGGAGATAAAAGTTTAATAATAGCTATGAAAAGTATGAATGCCGCAGACATCACCACACCAAGCGCTCGAAAAAAATCCTTTTTTATTTCGTCATTTCTCACCATTTTTACGAAACTCCAAAGACATGTTTTAGCTGTTCGCGGCCCATGTATTCGGTGAGTCAGTGACTTGACCATTTGACCCCATGCCATGGGGCGGTGCCTGTACTGTAGTTCGGCTTTACATGTAGTCATCGGCCAAGAAACAATGATGAATGCCTCCGTTATTTCTATCGCAGCGAATCGCTAGTAGATTTTATTATTTTAATAGGGGAGTCCGAACAGGCGTTGCCCTTTTACTGGGAACCCTAGGTGAATTTCGACCATGTTTACATAAAAGATGGGGTCTGACAGCTTTTCCCATGTTAAAATTTGCTGTCTTGGTCATATTTGAAAAGACAGCGACAACTATCTTGTGACAACAATGTCGCTTGGGCTGGTTCTGTTTATTGCGGTGCTACATTGAAGAATTTCCTTCAGTCAATTAGTATTTTTGTTCAGTCTTTATTCCAGATTTCTTATTGGTTATTCTGCTGTGCGATGCTCTTTTCGTGGGAGGGTAGCAAATGGAGCATCTGCTCGTACATCACGAGAAAGGGCGAAAGCCTATTTCAAGAAATTGGAATCGGAGGTGGAGAAATTGAGTCAGGAGGTGAGTCCTACTGGTCCTATTAACCATGTTTTATAATTATCATTATACACAAGAGAGATTGGAAGGTATCCATATCTCATAGCATGTCGTTGAGACTGCCAAGTAATTTAGAGATAAGTGTGATTGCCAACAATTGAGTCAGGAGGTGAGTCCTACTGGTCCTATTAACCATGTTTTATAATTATTATTATACACAAGAGAGATTGGAAGCTATCCATATCTCATAGCATGTCGTTGAGACTACCAAGTAATTTAGAGATATGGGTGATTGCCAACAATGGCCTATAGGACGAAACAAGGGAAGCGACAAAGAGAGCGAGTCACAGATAAATCATTCTCGAGTTATCGTGTCAGCAGTGCCTACTTCTATTCGACCATCTGTCATTGTAAACACGAGATCAATACTCTCCCTTGTGCGTTTATTGTTGCATGCAGAATGTCCAATTGAAGGCGCGAGTCAATGTTTTGGAGACCCCGCAGAAACATACGCAGTTGTTGACCACTCCAGCTTACCAGAGCGACCCTGGCGTTATGGATTTGGATATGCCAAACATAGGCATCAATCCGGCGTTGTTTGATGACCATGTGAGTTTTCATAGTTTTCTTTGTCATGTTTTACTATGAGCTGCTGAGCATGAATCACTAGTCACGTTTATTGACACAAAAACTACTACTACATGTATATGTAAATATTCTACGTGGAGATAAAAGTTTAATAATAGCTATGAAAAGTATGAATGTCGCAGACATCACCACACCAAGCGCTTGAAAAAAAACCGTTCTTTTTATTTCGTCATTTCTCAACATTTTTGCGAAACCCAAAAGACATAATTTAGCAAATCGCGGCCCATGTAGTCGATGAGTCAGTGACTTGACCATTTGACCCCATGCCATGGGGCGGTGCCTGTACTGTAGTTCGACTTTACATGTATTCTCCGGCCAAGAAGCAATGATGGGTGCCTCCGTTAATTCTATCGCATTGATTCGCTATAGATTTTATTACTTTACTAGGGGAGTCCCAACAGGCGTTGCCTTTTTACTGGGAACCCTAGTTGTACTTTTACCATGTTTACATTAGAGACGGGGCCTGACGGCTTTTCCCATGTTATAATTTGCTGTCTTGGTCATATTTGAAAAGGCGGCAACAACAGTCATGTGACAACAATGTCGCTTCAGCTGGTTCTGTTTATTGCAATCCCTACACTGTCTTACTAAGTACTCAAATACATATAAACTATCTTAGTCATTTTTGCTGTATGCCCTATAAGAGCCTATGAAGAGAAGGGAACAAAAATGTTCAGTTTTTAAATTCCCTATTGTTGATTTGGACTGGTGTGGATTACGCAGATGCATGTGCTACATTGAATAATTTCCTTCAATCAATTAGTATTTTAGTTCAGTCTTTATTCCAGATTTCTTATTGGTTATTCTGCTGTGCGATGCTTTTTTGGTAGGAGGGTAGCAAATGCAGCATCTGCTCGTACATCACGAGAAAGGGCGAAAGCCTATTTGAAGAAATTGGAATCGGAGGTGGAGAAATTGAGTCAGGAGGTGAGTCCTGCTGGTCCTATTATCCATGTTTTCTAATTATCATTAGCATTCCGCGCACGCAGACGGCATGCAGGCAGGCATACATCATTAGCATTCCGCGCACACAGACGGTATGCAGACAGGCATACACCACACGAATAAGGCTAGGTTGTGTTGGGTAAGTACTGGTGACGAGGAATTGGTTGGTCTTTGCCGCAAGGCAGGCACAAGCCCGTGAGGCTGCGAGTGCCGCAGAAAGGCAGAAGCCCGGAGGCTGTGATTGCCGCAGGAAGGCAGAAGCCCGGAGGCTGTGATTGCCGCAATGGAAAGGCAGGACCATAAGGCCATAATGCCGCAATAGAAAGGCAGACCAGTTATGAGTGACTCGCCATACCGCCAGTACATACCCATACACAACAGTATTGCAGTGCAGCATAGCATAGTTCATTATGAGGGAATTGTGTGAATCGAGAAACATCGGTGTCAGGGAGATGATCTTACTGAGGATAGTTTGCTGGCCAGCGTTCGGGCCGATGATGGTGGTGTCCAGATGTAGCGTAGGCATGCATCACTGCGCCACCGCCCCGCGGAGCGGATCTGGTGGTCGGGGACGCCAGCAAGGGCAGCAGTGGTAGCGGTCCCGATACGGAAGCTGTGGCCTGCATAGTCCTGCCAGTTTGCCACGCCGCTGGTGCTAAGCAGCGTGCGTACGTGGGCTGTAAAAGTGCTGCGGTTGAGGCGTTGCCCGTTGGCCAGGATGAACACAGCACTGCCTGGACGAGCAGAGGCGGTTGCAATGAGGTAGGTGAGCATGGCTCTCACAGCGCAGTATGGCGGCACCGCTGGCCCGATCAGCACCGTTGTACCTTCCCCGGACGGGTCTGTCTTCGAGCGTGGTAGGTGCACATGGAGCATCCCTGACTCGAATGTCAAACAGCCGCGCGTGGTAGGTGCTTCTAGCAGTTCACCGCATCTGAAGAAACCAAAGAACACGGCAAGCATAGCGGCATGCAGGCAGCGCTTGTCGTGAGGGCACATGGTTGGAGCAGCTAGGCAGGTGTCAACCAGACTGCAGAGAATAGGAAACGTGATTGGCAGCCTGGGGCGGACAGCGGCTACTCCATGGCAACGGCAAATACCGCGTACCACTCGCTTGAGGAAGTGCGCGCCCTCGGTCGGGTCGACATAACCGAGCTCCAGGTGCAGGTTCTTGATAGCACTGAGGTAAACCTTAATAGTCACTGGTCTGACCGACTGGGTTAGGGAGGCAGCAAAACTACTCAGCATTAGGTCTGAAGCGGGAAACGGGGACCATCTTTGAAGTTGGCAGAACTTGAGATACTTAGATTCGCCGGCGGAATACGTTCGTCTGGTGTTGTCGGATAGAGCAAAAGACAAAGGCAGCAGGATGCAAGTCGGGCATGAGCCAAAGCAGAGAAGACTCAAAACTGAGAATGGCAAGGAGATGTGCCACGTTGCGGACTCGGACCCGATCAAAACTGAATTAATTATTGTGATGGCGTACGCATAAATTAATGTGATGCACAGCAGGCGGTCTTGCCGGTCGCGGCAAGGCGCGCTAAACAAGTGCCGCGGCCAGAACCGTAGAGGGCGCTGTTGCGCAGCAGATACGTAGTTGCGAGATGTGCGCCTACGCTAAACTGAATTCATTACATGAATACATCATTATACAAAAGAGAGATTTGAATCTATTAATATCTCACAGCATGTCGTTGAGACTGCCAAGTAATTTAGAGATATGGGTGATTGCCAACAATGGCCTATAGGACGAAACAAGGGAAACGACAAAGAGAGGGAGTCACAGATATCTCATTCTCGAGTTATCATGTCAGCAGTGCCTACTTCTATTCGACCATCTGTCATTGTAAACACGAGACCAATACTCTCCCGTGTGCGTTTATTGCTGCATGCAGAATGTCCAATTGAAGGCGCGAGTCAATGTTTTGGAGACCCCGCAGAAATATACCCAGTTGTTGACCACTCCAGCTTACCAGAGCGACCCTGGCGTTCTGGATTTGGATACGCCAAACATAGGCATCAATCCGGAATTGTTTGAGGACCATGTGAGTTTTCATAGTTTCTTTGTCATGTTTTACTATGAGCTGCTGAGCATGAATCACTAGTCACGTTTTTTGACACAAAACTACTACTACATGTATATGTTAATAATCTACGTGGAGATAAAAGTTTAATAATAGCTATGAAAAGTATGAATGCCGCAGACATTACCACACCAAGCGCTCGAAAAAAAATCCTTTCTTTTTATTTCGTCATTTCTCAACATTTTTACGAAACTCCAAAGACATGTTTTAGCTGATCGCGGCCCATGTATTCGGTGAGTCAGTGACTTGACCATTTGACCCCATGCCATGGGGCGGTGCCTGTACTGTAGTTCGGCTTTACATGTAGTCATCGGCCAAGAAACAATGATGGATGCCTCCCTTATTTCTATCGCAGCGAATCGCTAGTAGATTTTATTATTTTAATAGGGGAGTCCGAACAGGCGTTGCCCTTTTACTGGGAACCCTAGGTGAATTTTGACCATTTTTACATAAAAGATGGGGCCTGACAGCTTTTCCCATGTTAAAATTTCTGTCTTGGTCATATTGGAGAAGTCAGCGACAACTATCATGTGACAACAATGTCGCTTGGGCTGGTTCTGTTTTTTTGCTGTGCTACATTGAAGAATTTCCTTCAGTCAATTAGTAATTTTGTTCAGTCTTTATTCCAGATTTCTTATTGGTTATTCTGCTGTGCGATGCTCTTTTCGTGGGAGGGTAGCAAATGCAGCATCTGCTCGTACATCACGAGAAAGGGCGAAAGCCTATTTCAAGAAATTGGAATCGGATGTGGAGAAATTGAGTCAGGAGGTGAGTCCTACTGGTCCTATTAACCATGTTTTATAATTATCATTATACACAAGAGAGATTGGAAGCTAACTATATCTCATGGCATGTCGTTGAGACTGCCAAGTAATTTAGAGATAAGGGTGATAACAATTGAGTCAGGAGGTGAGTCCTACTGGTCCTATTGTTAGCTGCTCCCGGCTAATGATGCCCCCTCACACCGGAACACAAGGGGTTTATATGATTGGATAATTTATAGAAGTATTCGAGAAGAGTGTAGACAAGGAGAACAGGACAACGACAACTCAAGACTAGACTACAACAGAACTGGAGCATGCGCTCTTCTATGTGAGTGCTCATTGCCAAGGGGAACGAGCGGGAAATACAAATAGTGAGTATTCAGGTCGTAGCATACATACACCTATTACACTGTGCCCCCCTAGCTAAAATTCACGTCCACGGGAATGAACGAAATACCTAGGAAACAACAAAAGAAAACAAACCAAATAATAAACTCAGTCCAGGACATAGTCAGCTAGTCGAGCAGGTGCAGTGCGGACACGGCCAGAACGACGAGAAACAGGAGAAGAAGTACGGACCGGATCAGACGACGGTGGCTGTAGCGGCGGAACGCAGCGCGGCAAATCATCATCAGGCAGCGTAATCGGGTCAGGACGAGAAGCAGTAACGGCAGGCGGTTGACAGTCGGGAGGACGGGAAACGGCTTCAGGCGGACGAACAAACTTGCCACTGGCAGCATCATATCGGGTGAAACACTCAGACAGAGCAGGATCAGCATACGGAGCAAGAAGACTCTGAGGCTTGTAACAATCCGGCAACGGTCCAGCAGCAGAGGAACCAGGAGGACGAACAAAAACGGCCGGAGGAATAATCTCAGCAGCCGGAGGAACATCAACAGCAAGTGGCACTTCATCAGCAGCTGACAACGGAACATCACGGGCAAGAGGCGGCGGACTCGGCGGAGGAGACGGCACATCGGTCACCACGCGGGACATAGCATCGGCATTCAGATGTTGGCGACCTGGACGGTGGACGACTCGGAATTCATATTCGGATAAACAGTCAAGCCAACGTGCTTTCCGTCCGCGGGGTTCCTTCAGGTTCCGGAGTGCAGTCAACGCAGTATTGTCCGTCCTGGCAACAAATGGTCGTGCCAACAAGTAGTGCCTGAAATACTCCGCAAAATAGACCAGAGCAAGGGCCTCACGATCGCTAGCATCGTAGTTGCGCTCAGCTTTCGTCAGTACACGACTGCCGTACCCAATTGGTCGCTCAGTTCCATCCTGGATCTGACTGAGGACTGCACCAATCGACACATTGCTCGCATCGGTGTCCAGAATGAATGCACCTGCTGAATCTTCAAACTGGGGGTACGCCATCACCGGCGCACTGGCAAGCGAACGCTTCAGAGCCTGGAACGCCGCTTCGCAAGCTTTCGACCATGCAAAGCGAGCATTCTTGCCTGTCAGAGCAGTCAGCGGAGCAGCACGCTGGGCGAACCCACGGATGAAGCGGCGATAATATCCAGCGAAGCCAAGGAACTCGCGGACAGCTGTGACAGATTTCGGAGTCTTCCAGTTCCTGACCGCGACGAGTTTGGCTTCATTCGGGGAGATGCCCTCCGCTGACACGCGGTGTCCTAAGAAAGTGACCTCCTCCTGGAAGAAGGAGCATTTCTTCAGATTGAACCGCAGTCCAGCGGACCGAACTCGCGCGAACACGGGCAGCAGAATCTGGAGTTGGCCAGACAGCGTTTCGCTGGCATTCAGGACATCATCAAAGAACACACGGCAGAATGGCTGGACCGGTGTGTTACATAAGCCACTCAGGACTGCTTCCATTACGCGCTGAAATGTCGCTGGGCCATTCCTGCAGCCCATCGGCAGAACATTAAACTCAAACAAGCCCAGTGGCGTGGTAAATGCCGTCTTAGCCTTGTCGCTTCCTTCCATTGCTATTTGCCAGTATCCTGACGCTAAGTCAAGGGACGTGAAATACCGACAGCCAGACAGGGAATCAAGCATGTCATCCGCCCGGGGAATCGGGTAAGCATCAGGCTCGGTGACAGAGTTCAACTTCCTGTAGTCGATACAGAGTCGAAGAGAGCCATCCTTCTTTGGCACCAATACTATGGGTGATGCCCACGGACTAATCGATTCTTGTATTATGCCTTGCTTTAACAGCGTATTCAGTAGATCTTGCAGAGCCTTCCGGCGGTGATATGGAATCCGCCTGGTAGGTTGTTTTATAGGGTTATTTTGTCCTGTGTTAATTTTATGAGGGAATATGTCACAGTAGCCATAGTCATCATCATGCAAGATAAATAAATCGTGGTTATCATGAAGTAGTTCAGTGAGCGTGCGAGACTGTTCTGTGGAGAGATGATTTTGTGCGTTGATATATTCATCGATGACTTTCTTGCGTTGCTCAGTTAGCGGGATCGGGTCGGGTGAAACTGAGGAAACCATAGCTTCAGTGTCGTCAATATGTTCACAATCTGTAGGAATTTGATGAAGTTCGGCAACATTGGTATTTTTATGAATGAGTATAGGATGATTTGCATGATTTTCAACAGCCACAACCACACGTGTTTGGTTAGGGCCAACAGTTACAAGACTAGGAGTCACTGCCACATCTGGATGCTTCGCCATAAAGGACTCCAATGGATCTGCCACGCAATCCATCGCAACCGTGCACACATCAACAGCTGCACAAGGCACCAAGACAACATGTCCTGCAGGTACCGACAACTCCATCTCAAACACCACACGAGATGAGTATACCACAGGGTCAGCCACACTCCCGGGCGCACACGCCGGGACAACGCCAGGTTGAGCCATGGGTTCAACAACCCGTGCAGACAATGAATCGTCAAGGGCAACACGAGAAGAATACGACGAAACAGGTACATCGTCGGAGCATGCATCAGAATGAGGAGTATGAGTATTACATGAGGGGGAAGTATTACGCGGAACAATACGATCATAGGGCGTACGTGACGGAGGACACCCGGAACCAGAAACATGCAACGGAACAGACACATCGCCAAACATCACAACACCACGAGCAATATCTAATACACCACCATGCTGCAACAAAAAATCGGAACCAAGAATCATGTCACAGTGAATACCAGGAGACACAACAACCGTGTGCTGGAAAGACAGATTTCCTAGCGACATACACAGATCCATGGATCCAACGACAGGAAGTTGTGCGCCATTGACTGCACACAACCGCGGAGCAGACTCTAGAGGAGGTCGCTCTGTCAAATTAGGCAACAATTTAGAATGCACTAACGACACACTTGAACCAGAATCAACAAGAGCAACAACAGGAGACGAAGACGAAGACGAAAGACAAACATCAACGTGCACAATAATGGGTGAGATCGCACCACATACCTCCTCGAGGGGCTCCACTCGGACGACTGACGGCGGCCCCGTGTCACCAGTCCAACCTAGTTTTTTTGCGTGCGGGCAAGATGCAATGAAGTGGCCCTCTTCACCACATCCATGGCACACTCCACGGACAGGCCTCGCAAAACTCTGGCCACGACCACGACTAGGCGCACCAGCACCAGCACCACGAGCAACAAAACGTACATGGTCTTGCTGGGGTCGGGTGGGGCGATACAGACTCACGCTCTCCATTTTCGCCTCCAAAGCAGAGAGACGCGAATCAAAACTCGACAAAAGCGAAGCCAACTGGTCTCGCTCAGATTCCGACTTCAGTGGACCGACTGCTGTGTAGGGGTCACGACCATGACGGGGCTTCACTTCCGGAGCAGCAGCAAATACGGGCTGTGCGTACTGGTGAGGTACGGTGCGGGCCTGCTCGCGAGCATAAATAGCACCTACCTCGATGGCCTTTTGGACCGCCGCATCCAAATCAGTGGGCCGAGGTGACGCCAACGCCAAGCGCAAATCCTTCGATGCCTGGCCATCAATAAAAAGTTGCAAAAGCATTGAATCAAGCAGTGCACCTTGTTGTCCTGGGTAGGCTCGACGAGCGAGCCGACGAAGTTCCGTGGCGTACCCGTGCTGAGTTTCACTCGCCAGCTTCACTCGCTGGCGAAGACTGGCCTCGTGCATCAATGCTTGCTGGGGCGGCTCAAGACGGACATGCAGAGCCTCGACTGCGTCGGAAAAGTTTATGTCACGCGTGTGAGTTAGAATTTCGGTGAACATCTCATGAGCTGTACCAACAAGGCGAGCAGGTAGTAGCCGTAGCTTTTGTTCGTCGTCGTACCCACTCAACTCGCATGTGTGGACGAAATGCCTCATGTACGTGGTGAAATCTTGGCCTGGCTGATTTCCGAATGTCTCAGGAAGCAAGACTGGCTTCGGCAGTGGACGTGCATGTGGTGTGTCTGTGTCCGGCAAACGAAAACGATGGGACAACCCTTGTACCGGCGAACTCTCGCGCTCTTCAGCAATGTTCATGTCACAGCCAGCTTCAGCGAAGCTACGCTCTAGCTTTTCTTGTCTCTTGGATTTCGCTGAACGGCCCATTGTGAAAAAAAAATTGTTTTTGTATTTTTGAATTTTCGAAAAAAAAATTTATCTGCAAAAATTTCCCGTGGACTCGATCGACTATCGATCTCAATCTATTACGTAACCTATCGTGCGTAGCGGCAAACAACTAAATTTGGCAGAGACAATTCCAAATAGGCAACTACTCTACGGACACAGTGTAGCTAGACTCTACTACCCAGCTAGCAGATATCCTAACAAGACACTAGACAGCAGCCAGTATGCACAAAACACGGACACAGAAAATGTTCCGAAAATGTTTGGCCAGACAGGTTGGCGCCAATGCTTGACCTATGGACTGTAAACCATGGTAAACAATGCATGCAACAAGAAAACGACGAGCAGAAAGAAACACAATGCAGATAGGAAAATATTGACGAAGAGAGTGGATGAGGATATGGTTTCCGACTTGCGTGGGCCTTCGTGGTACTTCATAGTCGGCGATCTCCGAAGGCGTACATACTCCGCCAGCGATGGAGTGGTGGACGTTTTCCGCTGCCACCAGTGTTAGCTGCTCCCGGCTAATGATGCCCCCTCACACCGGAACACAAGGGGTTTATATGATTGGATAATTTATAGAAGTATTCGAGAAGAGTGTAGACAAGGAGAACAGGACAACGACAACTCAAGACTAGACTACAACAGAACTGGAGCATGCGCTCTTCTATGTGAGTGCTCATTGCCAAGGGGAACGAGCGGGAAATACAAATAGTGAGTATTCAGGTCGTAGCATACATACACCTATTACACTATTAACCATGTTTTATAATTATCATTATACACAAGAGAGATTGGAAGCGATCCATATCTCATAGCATGTCGTTGAGACTGCCAAGTAATTTAGAGATAAGGGTGGAAGCCAACATTGGCCTATAGGACGAAACAAGGGAAGCGACAAAGAGAGCGAGTCACAGATAAATCATTCTCGAGTTATCGTGTCAGCAGTGCCTACTTCTATTCGACCATCTGTCATTGTAAACGTGAGATCAATATTCTCCCTTGTGCGTTTATTGTTGCATGCAGAATGTCCAATTGAAGGCGCGAGTCAATGTTTTGGAGACCCCGCAGAAAAATACGCAGTTGTTGACCATTCCAGCTTACCAGAGCGACCCTGGCGTTATGGATTTGGATATGCCAAACATAGGCATCAATCCGGCGTTGTTTGATGACCATGTGAGTTTTCATAGTTTTCTTTGTCATGTTTTACTATGAGCTGCTGAGCATGAATCACTAGTCCCGTTTTCTGACACAAAAACTACTACTACATGTATATGTAAATAATCTACGTGGAGATAAAAGTTTAATAATAGCTATGAAAAGTATGAATGCCGCAGACATCACCACACCAAGCGCTCGAAAAAAAACCTTTTTTATTTCGTCATTTCTCAACATTTTTACGAAACTCCAAAGACATGTTTTAGCTGTTCGCGGCCCATGTATTCGGTGAGTCAGTGACTTGACCATTTGACCCCATGCCATGGGGCGGTGCCTGTACTGTAGTTCGGCTTTACATGTAGTTATCGGCCAAGAAACAATGATGGATGCCTCCCTTATTTCTATCGCAGCGAATCGCTAGTAGATTTTATTATTTTAATAGGGGAGTCCGAACAGGCGTTGCCCTTTTACTGGGAACCCTAGGTGAATTATGACCATGTTTACATAAAAGATGGGGCCTGACAGCTTTTCCCATGTTAAAATTTCTGTCTTGGTCATATTTGAAAAGGCAGGGACAACTATCATGTGACAACAATGTCGCTTGGGCTGGTTCTGTTTTTTTGCTGTGCTACATTGAAGAATTTCCTTCAGTCAATTAGTATTTTTGTTCAGTCTTTATTCCAGATTTCTTATTGGTTATTCTGCTGTGCGATGCTCTTTTCGTGGGAGGGTAGCAAATGCAGCATCTGCTCGTACATCACGAGAAAGGGCGAAAGCCTATTTCAAGAAATTGGAATCGGAGGTGGAGAAATTGAGTCAGGAGGTGAGTCCTACTGGTCCTATTGACCATGTTTTATAATTATCATTATACACAAGAGAGATTGGAAGCTATCCATATCTCATAGCATGTCGTTGAGACTGCCAAGTAATTTAGAGATAAGGGTGATTGCCAACAATTGAGTCAGGAGGTGAGTCACTCCTACTGGTCCTATTAACCATGTTGTATAATTATCATTATACACAAGAGAGATTGGAAGCTATCCATATCTCATAGCATGTCGTTGAGACTGCCAAGTAATTTAGAGATAAGGGTGATTGCCAACAATGGCCTATAGGACGAAACAAGGGAAGCGACAAAGAGAGCGAGTCACAGATAAATCATTCTCGAGTAATCGTGTCAGCAGTGCCTACTTCTATTCGACCATCTGTCATTGTAAACACGAGATCAATACTCTCCCTTGTGCGTGTATTGTTGCATGCAGAATGTCCAATTGAAGGCGCGAGTCTATGTTTTGGAGACCCCGCAGCAAAATACGCAGTTGTTGACCACTCCAGCTTACCAGAGCGACCCTGGCGTTATGGATTTGGATATGCCAAACATAGGCATCAATCCGGCGTTGTTTGATGACCATGTGAGTTTTCATAGTTTTCTTTGTCATGTTTTACTATAAGCTGCTGAGCATGAATAACTAGTCACGTTTTTTGACACAAATAATACTACATGTATATGTAAATATTCTACGTGGAGATAAAAGTTTAATGATAGCTATGAAAAGTATGAATGCCGCAGACATCACCACACCAAGCGCTCGAAAAAAAACTTTTTTATTTCGTCATTTCTCAACATTTTTACGAAACCCCAAAGACATGTTTTAGCTGATCGCGGCCCATGTGGTCGGTGAGTCAGTGACTTGACCATTTGACCCCATGCCATGGGGCGGTGCCTGTCCTGTAGTTCGGCTTTACATGTAGTCGCCGGCCAAGAAGCAATGATGGGTGCCTCCGTTATTTCTATCGCAGCGAATCGCTAATAGATTTTATTATTTTAATAGGGGAGTCCCAACAGGCGTTGCCTTTTTACTGGGAACTCTAGGTGAATTTTTACCATGTTTACATAAGAGACGGGGCCTGACGGCTTTGCCCATGTTATAATTTGCTGTCTTAGTCATATTTGAAAAGGCAGCGACAACAGTCATGTGACAACAATGTCGCTTCAGCTAGTTCTGTTTATTGCAATCCTTACACTGTCTTACTAAGTACTCAAATATATAAACTATCTTAGTCATTTTTCCTGTATTCCCTATAAGAGCCTATGAAGAGAAGGGAACGAAAATGTCCGGTTTTTAAATTCCCTATTGTTGATTTGGACTGGTGTGGATTACGCAGATGCATGTGCTACATTGAAGAATTTCCTTCAATCAATTAGTATTTTAGTTCAGTCTTTATTCCAGATTTCTTATTGGTTATTCTGGTGTGCGATGCCTTTTTGGTAGGAGGGTAGCAGATGCAGCATCTGCTCGTACATCACGAGAAAGGGCGAAAGCCTATTTGAAGAAATTGGAATCGGAGGTGGAGAAATTGAGTCAGGAGGTGAGTCCTACTGGTCCTATTATCTATGGTTTATAATTATCATGATACACAAGAGAGATTGGAAGCTATCAATATCTCATAGCATGTCGTTGAGACTGCCAAGTAATTTAGAGATATGGGTGATTGCCAACAATGGCCTATAGGACGAAACAAGGGAAACGATAAAGAGAGCGAGTCACAGATATCTCATTATCGAGTTATCGTGTCAGCAGTGCCTACTTCTATTCGACCATCTGTCATTGTAAACACGAGACCAATACTCTCCCTTGTGCGTTTATTGTTGCATGCAGAATGTCCAATTGAAGGCGCGAGTCAATGTTTTGGAGACCCCGCAGAAAAATACCCAATTGTTGACCACTCCAGCTTACCAGAGCGACCCTGGCGTTATGGATTTAGATACGCCAAACATAGGCATCAATCCGGCGTTGTTTGATGACCATGTGAGTTTTCATAGTTTTCTTTGTCATGTTATACTATGAGCTGCTGAGCATGAATCACTAGTCACGTTTTTTGACACAAATACTACGACTACATGTAAAATTAGGTAAATAATCTACGTGGAGATAAAAGTTCAATAATAGCTATGAAAAGTATGAATGCCGCAGACATCACCACACCAAGCGCTCTAAAACTGTAGTTCGGCTTTACATGTAGTCGCCGGCCAAGAAGCAAGGATGGGTGCCTTCGTTATTTCTATCGCAGCGAATCGCTAGTTGATTTTATTATTTTACTAGTGGAGTCCCAACAGGCGTTGCCTTTTTACTGGGAACCCTAGGTGAATTTTTACCATGTTTACATAAGAGACGGGGCCTGATGGCTTTGCCCATGTTATAATTTGCTGTCTTTAGTCATTTGACAAGGCCGCGACAACAGTCATGTGACAACAATGTCGCTTCAGCTGGTTCTGTTTATTGCAATCCTTACACTGTCTTACTAAGTACTCAAATATATCAATTATCTCAGTAATTTTTGCTGTATTCCCTATAAAGCCTAGTTCACATTCGACGGGGCGCGACGGGACGCCACGTAAGGATCGACGGGAAGCGACGGGACTGTCTGACTGCGTCCAATGTGAACACCAGGAACGGGAACGCAACCGTACTACCGTACAGATCGGGAAGCGACGGGATGAGTTGGATCGATCCAACTTTTCATACCGTAGACGGGCGTAGACGGGGACGCAAGCGTACAAAACGGCTGCAATTCGAGTGTGAACAGGAGACGGCGTCGTGCGCCGACTGCTCCCGATTCGTACTTGGAAATTTTTAGCATTTCGAACACTGCGCTTCCCATGATAACTCACAGAATGGCTAGCACGACTTGAGTTGAATTTTAGCAACATAAGATCTCATGTCACTTATTGTATTTAGGGATAGTTCAGAAGCGTGACAGACGAACTATTCTATCATTTCCTGGGGCTATTATTTGAATGCCACAACTTTCAGGGCTAATTTTTTGGTCTTCACGAAAACCTGGTATTGTGAACTTGATTCCGCTTCTTTCAAGGAGAAATAATTGAAAAGAAGTCCCGAAAAACGAGAAATTAGGTCCAAAAGTCACCCCGTCACGGACCGTGCCTTATGACTCGCGCCGTTCGACGGTGAACGTCGCAACGACTGCTGCATGTCGTGTCCTACGAATCGTACAGGATTTTACAGCTCACCCCAGCCCTCCCGACAAGCCCTTACGTCCCGTACCGTCGGCGTTGCATCGAATGTGAACTAGGCTTCAGAGCCTATGAAGAGAAGGGAACGAATATGAATAAAACTAATTCTTGTTGATTTCACCGCGCCTACCACTCGGCTACCCATTACACCTGGGTCATGCTCAGCGATCGTCTGGCTCTGCGAGCTGCTCTAGTGTCACTAGATACGAACATTCTCAGTCTTTGCTTGCCAACTACTTGAACTGGACCGCCAAACAAGTGTTTGAACAAAATTTGAGAAGATGATCGCCACATCATGACTGAGGCGCAAAGTGAAAGCGCTCGAAAAAAACACTTCTTTTAATTTCGTCATTTCTCAATATTGTTACGAAACCCAAAGACATGTTTTAGCAGATCGCGGCCCATGTAGTCGGTGAGTCAGTGACTTGACCATTTGACCCCATGCCATGGGGCGTTGCCTGTACTGTAGTTCGGCTTTACATGTAGTCGCCGGCCAAGAAGCAATGGAGGGTGCCTCCGTTATCGCTAGTAGATTTTATTATTTAACTAGGGGAGTCCCAACAAGCATTGCCTTTTTACTGGGAACCCTAGGTGAATTTTTACCATGTTTAGATAAAAGACGGGGCTTGACGGCTTTGCCCATGTTATAATTTGCTGTCTTAGTCATAATATTTTGAAAAGGCAGCGACAACAGTCATGTGACAACAATGTCGCTTCAGCTGGTTCTGTTTATTGCAATCCTTACACTGTCTTACTAAGTACACAAATATATTAACTATCTTAGTCATTTTTGCTGTATTCACTATAAGAGCCTATGAAGAGAAGGGAACGAAAATGTCCGGTTTTTAAATTCGCTTTTGTTCATTTGGACTGTTGTGGATTACGCAGATGCATGTGCTACATTGAAGAACTTCCTTCAATCAAAAAGGCGACGAGGAGACAATAACTTTAATAATGCGATTAATAGTATAAGTGAAGCGGACATTACAAAATGATGAATGAGAATACATGTATCTAAAATGCTTGTTCCTAATCAATATCATCAGGGAAAAATTCGTCTCACATTTGAGGCTATACGGAGAAACAAACTACTTATAGGTTATCGGATGGTGGGAAGTATACAAGGTGAGGTGTGAAAAAAATAACTAAAGTGGGAGAGAGGACGAAAGAATATAGAAATTAGGTGAGACCACAACGAAAGGGTCAGCAATTAAGAAACACCTCTTGTCTAGTAGCCAATGCCGCTCAGTTTATGATGATTCATGCTTCACTGTTTTGTGCCGTGCTCGTAGGTTTCGTGAACTTAAGGTATTAGAAGCTGTTTTCATCCGTAAACACAATCCTAATCTATGCATTCAGAAAGAAAATGTCACAGAATTGAGACTCTTCACCTAGCATTCACACACGTATTCATTCGCATACACCTACACCTCACAGTTCCTCACTCTATCACATTCACCTGCTTCCACGCCTTCATTTCACTCACCTTTTGTAGTAGCTCACACCGTCAGAACACTCTCACATCTTTTCGTCTAATTTCTTTCGTCTTCTCTCCCACTTTAGTTAGTTTTTTTTTCACACCTCACCTTGTATACTTCCCACTATCCGATAACCTATAAGTAGTTTGTTTCTCCGTATAGCCTCTATTGTGAGAGGAATTTATCCCTGATGATAGTCTCAAGAAAATCGATTAGGAACAAGCATTTTAGATACATGTATTCTCATTCATCATTTTGTAATGTCCGCTTCACTTATACTATTAATCGCATTCCTTCAATCAATTAGTATTTTAGACTTTTTTAGTTCAGTCTTTATTCCGGATTTCTTATTGGGGTATTCTGCTGTGCGATGCTTTTTTGGTAGGAAACTAGCAAACGCAGCATCTGCTCGTACATCACGAGAAAGGGCGAAAGTCTATTTGAAGAAACTGGAATCGGAGGTGGAGAAATTGAGTCAGGAGGTGAGTCCTACTGGTCCTATTAACCATGTTTTATAATTATCATTATACACAAGAGAGATTGGAAGCTATCAATATCTCATAGCATGTCGTTGAGACTGCCAAGTAATTTAGAGATATGGGTGATTGCCAACAATGGCCTATAGGACGAAACAAGGGAAACGACAAGGAGAGCGAGTCACAGATATCTCATTCTCGAGTTATCGTGTCAGCAGTGACTACGTCTATTCGACCATCTGTCTATGTAAACACGAGACCAATACTCTCCCTTGTGCGTTTATTGTTGCATGCAGAATGTCCAATTGAAGACGCGAGTCATTGTTTTGGAGACCCCGCAGAAAAATACACAGTTGTTGACCACTCCAGCTTACCAGAGCGACCCTGGCGTTATGGATTTGAATACGCCAAACATAGGCATCAATCCGGCGTTGTTTGATGACCATGTGAGTTTTCATAGTTTTCTTTGTCATATTTTACTATGAGCTGCTGAGCATGAATCACTAGTCAAGTTTTTTGACACAAATACTACGTTGTATTTCTCGCGAAAATTAATATTTTCAGTTGCACATATGGCATCTGGTGTGTTCTTTGTTGTCGCTTATTTTCCTGACTTCTTCAGTCAGTTTTGAGTCTCACCAGTGTCCCTGCCCTCCCACCCTATATTTCTGTGCATATTATCAATGCTTTTTATCACGGTTTGCCGTGATGTGCTTGCCATGCCTACATGATGCCTAATCGCCATTGGGGATATACACCCGGTTTTTTCCCTCACAAATGCGTCCGTCGGCGCGAGGGTTTTTTCCCGGCTGGCTCGGTCCAGGAAAATTAATCTGACGGTCCCAAGTGGTTCTGCATCATGGCCTATTTCTGCTATCCACTGGCACGCCTATTCTATCTGAGACACTCTGTTCTCAGTCCTTGCTTGCTTCCATACCTCACTCGTTATCCGGTTCACATCTGGCCGCAGCCAACTACCCTTCACTTTGTGTGTTGTTGCTATTGCTGTCTATGTCTCTGTGTATGCCAGTATATGTGGAGCGAGATACAACATGCATATGTAAATAATCTACGTGGAGATAAAAGTTTAATAATAGCTATGAAAAGTATGAATGCCGCAGACATCACCACGCAACATGACACTTTGTTCATGGTTTGGTTTTGTGTGCTTCCAAAATCGATTTTCACGCTCCGATCATCAGTGGATATACGGAACTAACGTGATCAAGGGGAAAACAAAGGTTAAAAATCCAAAGAAGTGTGACACATGACGCGTATGTATTATAAAAAGTGAGAACTAAGATAAAGATTAAGTGTGACAAATGGGCATGAACATTGCAGAAACAACTCGTGAACACGGGGTGCAAACTCACGAAAATAACCTAAGTGCTACAACATGTTCTTTTTGCTTTCACAAATCTTATGCGTACGAATACCAACAGCTTCAAGGACCTTCAACTGCTGGCCATACCGGCACGACACAGTACAGAGAAGTGGGAATCATCATACACACCCAAACAATCGGGACGAGATAACAAATGCAAGTACACAGCTGACTTCTTACGAATTTCACCTTCATCAGCTCCATCACCTTCCCTGCCACCTGACTCCTCCTCGTCCGTTTTATCACCATCACCACCAGCCGTCTCATCGTCATCCGCCTCGTCATCATCCGCCTCGTCGTCATCCGTCGCCTCGTCATCACCCGCTTCGTCGTCATCTGTATCCTCGTCATCCGCCGCATCATCACCCAGCTCATATTCACCACCAGTCCGTCGTCTGATACCATCCGTGTTCTCCTTCCTACGTCTGTCTCGTGCCACTGTCCTTAGCTCATCTACGTCTCGAGATTGTGTTCCGTTTTGCTTCTGGTTTCTGTTCTCCTTCGATGCTCCGCGTGGGCCTTGGCTATTCCTAGCATATATTTCGGTTGAATAATTGGTAGTCGACCTCCGTGGTCTCTGGACCCACGGATCAAGCGCCGGAGGGTGCTGCGGTGTCCGCACAGCCGGATACTGTGTCAAAGAAATGGGATCCATTTCTGTGATTGGCGGTACTGTCGTTGTTGCCGACTCCAACCCAACCCCAGCCACCAACAGCACTGGTGGTGGCTCCGGTGGCGGCAAGGGCAACGGTGGAGAAGGCACATTCAGTTGGCTTAGTGATTCACCACTCTTCCTCTGCACCGTGTGTTCGACTTGCTCTGGCTGTGTCGGTGGTAGAGGGAGCAGGTTCTTGTGTGGTCTTCCCCGCTTCGGGCGCTTCGCTTTTGCTGCGTCCGGCAGCATGTGAAGTGGTAGGTGCTGTTTGATACGTGCGCTCAGGTATTGAAGGGTCCTACCAACGTACCGGCTATCACATTTCCGGCACTCAAATTGGTAGACCAAGTGGCTCAATAGGTGGGATGGTAGGACATCCTTCCTCACCGTGAACGCACGTATCGTAGTGAACACAGGGATGAAGTACGCCACAAAGTATGTTTGTGTAACTAGCGTTTTGATCGTGCGGCACAATGTCTGTGATGCCTCTCCTTTCCAAGGTAAGGAAAGGTAGACTGGGCAACGACTTGGACCTATGATGACGACCTTTGGTTTTGATGCTGATTTTAGTAGCTTGTTTAGCAGTTCCTACGGGTAACTCACCCTTGAGTCGAGAGGGGGAACAGATTCGTCGCGCTCTATCCACCAGATTCTTCACCAAGTTGACCTTATACAGGTACGAACAATACGAGTCAAACACGATATATTGTCCGGTAAATGTTGGTTTCCTGTATATTGACGTTACAATTTCATCGTTTGACTTCTCCACACGCACATCTACAAAGGACAAGGTGTTGTTCTGTTCATGTTCAACCGTGAATTTCAGATAGGGATGTAAGTTATTCAATCGGTTCAAGAAGGCGTCACACTGTTGCACAGAATCAAAATATGTGAACAAGTCGTCGACAAACCGAACGTAAAACTCCGGCCACAGTGACTGGTCCGCAAGAGATTCGCAGTAGCCAACAAATATATTTGCCAACACTGGACCTAATGGTGATCGCATGGCTACCCCATCCACCTGCCTATACATCACGTTATCAAATGAAAACTCAACGCCCGTGGTAACAAGAGACATCAGTGTATGGAAGGAGGATTCAGGCAGCCATGGCGTGTCAACAGAGTTATTGTGATAGAGGACATCCGCACAAATATCTATGGTCTGTTCCAAAACCAAACCTTGAACAAATTGTCATGTTGCGTGGTGATTTCTGCGACCTTCATACTTTTCATAGCTATAACATGTATATGTAGTAGTACATTAAGTACTAGCACATGTTTTTTTATCACATTGCACATACCTACGGAGGAAGGGGAAACAAAACGAAGACAAAGTAAAAAACAACAATATTCACCAAAATCTCGGGCATGGCGGATCATCAAGGTGAACACAGTTTTGACTTCAGTATACCTAGCCATGCTACTACCAGTAATATAACTGTGGATGACTTTTCATAGCTTGAATTTGAGTGAATACCAGTAAGGTCAAAAAAGAGACTCAAGGGTCCTGCACGTTCAGGGAAATTCCCAGCTGGATTGAGCAGAATCTGTAGATGGGTTCCAATGGGCACTTTAGCTAGGCATGTTTGAGTGCTTGGAATACTGGGCTTCAGTAGCAGAACTCTTGTGCAAGTGCAGTTCACTTCCCTTTTCGGGGTTCCTGAATCACTGTGCCCTTTTACCATGTCATTGACGAGGGCTGGTAATGTATTCTGTTATTTCTTTGCGATATTCCTGATGATGTGCTCTCGTCGAATCAGACATATGCAATGTACAAATACTTGTTGGCATGGTTTGAGAGCCTACAGCAGCGTCAACAACAGCAGCAGCCGCAACACCAGCAGCAGCAGCCGCTACAACAGCAGCAGCCGCAGGAACAGCAGCAGCAGCTGAAACAACAGCAGCCGCAACAACAGCAGCAGACGCAACAACAGCAGCAGCCGCAAGACCCTCCCCTACCGCCAGCAACTACTGGCAGCAGTCTACACCAGTTACAGTATGGTAACACGCCAACGGCATCCTCCCTCAGTGGACCGAGTGGCAGAGCCGTATACGCTGATACGAGCTCTCCGTACTATCGCCCTAGCAACAGACCGGTGCAGCATGGTCACCCTACTTACTCTGGATATTCGGTGAAGGCACTGTCGGGCCACCAGCGCAGTGTGAGTAAACAGACACACATAGTCACACACACACATACACACACACATCAATTATTTGCTTTGACTCAATAAATACCACTGCACTTTTCCATGTAGCACTGCACTGTTACCTAAAAAGGAGTATTATATAAACAGTATTTATTGGCCAATATGTGATTGTTGTGATACATGTATGTCTGATAATAGTGATACGGTAAGTATGACCTAAATACCCACTAGTTGGCACCGTTTTGTGCTCCAGCTCTCTATGTGCAGGGTGAATTTGTTCTGAAAATATCCTAATCCTGTTATTAACCTCCTGAAAAAGATAGGCATGATCAATGCGCAACTGGCTTTATTCATTGTGTTGAATCCTGTTATTGGTGATCTTTCCGTTCCTTGTAGAATCCTCCAGCGCAGTCTGGCGGTTCGCCACCGCAGTTGCAAGCATCACCTTAATCCTGGGAGTAACCCCAGGAGCAGCCAGAGCCAACGCACGAGCAACACCATCAGCAAGAACATCAATTGCCTTCCTGGGCAGGCATGGTGGACCGCAGTGACGCACCAGTGAGTTTTGTGGCACGATGGGCCCACCAACCGCGGTGCGTGATCCCCGGTGTGTGATCCCCGTTGTGCGTGATCCCGGGTATGTGTGATCTACGGTATCCTAGCCGGTAGGGCACTGTCCCGAAAAGACAGGGGTGCTGGGTTCCAATCCCGCTCGTGGATCCTTCTTTTGCAACAGTTTCAACAATCCAATGCTGGATCAAGGTTGCTTGTTGAACTGACAAACACTCGTCTAGACTAAAGCTTAGGGATT